TCTTAAATCCTTGAATACATTTATTTTTCGACATGCATCATTTTGAGTACGATTTCGATAATTATGCTGATGACACTTGAAACTTAACTACAAATTTGATTTTACACACAGCAATATTACGTTCTTTCAGCCCCCCCCCCCAATTTTTTGTATTTAAAAAAAAATTATATACGGTACTTCCTATCATGCCCCCTAAATAAGACCGTGATGTGATAAGCAGTTTGTTCAAAAGCTTCACCTGGTTTGTGGCATCCAACGTATGTTTGATATTTTTGTGACGTTGAAGTAAACGTGCAGATTTGGTGATAAGTAACCCCGTAAGTGCAATCGTACACTAACGCCATACTGATCGTGCTGCCCCAGTCAAAATAATCCTATACAAGTTCAGCGAAATTTAATATTAACGCTTTAACGAATTATTTAAACGCTTAGAGCGCATAATATATTTAAATGTTCTTAATATTATTTGTTATTATAATTTGTCATGAAAGAGAATGCAATTCTCATTTGTTATAAGACAGAAAATCGCACGTGACAAAGTTTTTAGACTGTTAGTGATATGTGTTTATTGCTTTTTTTTAAAGACGAAATTAAAATCTTTTATTTGACTTACACCCAGTCATCCATCCTTATTTATTTAACGATCACACACCTCATTGTTGTATTTCATATGAATGTCGACGGTAGATGGTCAAAGCCCAGTAAGGAAAACGTTAAATGTCCAGACCGATTCCCTGTCCTACCTATTCAAATATCAATCTCAAAATAGATGAAAATAGATACAGAGTATATTGTACTCTAAGTCCCAACACTAGTAAAATGGCCTATCATAAATATATACATATATGTATAAATAGTTATGTGGTGATTGACGAAAAAAAATAATAAAACAACCGTAGAAGTTACAAAATATAGGAATTTTCTAATATTTGGTATATTCTGCAGTTATTTTGTTATATCTTCGTCATTAAGATAATAGCATATGCACGTGTGCATTCACGTTGAAAATATCATACGTTTTATTTGTTAATAATATAAAATATTATTTACATTTTTTCTCTGCTTTATTTCGCCGTCTTCATTCGGAATGCCAAAGCGTTAAAAGGTTTTCCCTGCCAAATTCGTCCAAAACATGATTTTACTTCTCAACATTCAATCAAGTTCACTCAAATTTGGGTTGCTTGCGGTTTCTTATGCTTGAATCTTTGTACATATAATGTTTTGTTGTTTCTCGAAGACCCCGTGTTTCACATTCAAATTTGGGTGTATTTCAACTAAATTCGAAATGCGTAATCGTAATTTTATTTCGCCAAGTGTGACTGGAAGGGTGAAGGGGTGCTTTTGAAATATAAATTAAATGATCGCATTCAAGCTGTCGTATATAGTTAGTTTGCAGGCAGAAACCCTGGTCAGTCGTAAAAGAGAGTCTGCACTATAAGACTACCATAGGCAATTTACTATAGCTGCTCCTGACACAGGCACAAACCTTGGTCAGTCGAAAAAGAGAGTCTGCACTATAAGACTACCATAGGCAATTTACTATAGCTGCTCGTGACACAGGCACAAACCTTGGTCAGTCGAAAAAGAGAGTCTGCACTATAAGACTACCATAGGCCATGTACTATATATATAGCTGCTCCTATATTGACACAATCAGTAGGTAGCTGGTCTAGGCTTCTTTCAGGGCACAATGATTTTTTGATAAAGTGTCACATCAGGGTCTGTGCTTGCAGACTAGTATATAGTCACATGCTCCTAATTATTGATTGAATGAGCACAATTACATGTTGAATGACGATCTACGCATTCATTTGATTTCGCACGAAATTGAATAAACTCTGGCAATGTTAACTTGGTTACTAATTTAGAAAGTTGGAAGTGAAACCTATATAAAATTATTTATGCTAATGTAAGGAAAAGAAGTCCCATCTTTTACGTTTTTACACATACAGATGCATATTGAATATTATTTGTTCTTCAATTTAAAGAACTCAAACATTTAATGCCGTTATGGTATATGTGGTTTTGCCAGATTGAGAGAGAGGTAGAGAGGGGGCGGGGAGGGTGCTAGCAGGTAAACAACATTCAGTAGATCAATGCAACATTTAATATCGGTCTTATTTTGGCGTTGTCGATATTTGTTTAGAACTTCCATTTGCCTTTTTGACCTCTACCCTGCCTGTGTACTGATCATGTCTGCTGACGAGCCGAAACAAAACTTCATTTTGAAATTAAGTGACTATTACATACCGGATTCCATTTTTCTTGTGCATTCATTGATTATGTTAATAATTGGCATTAATTACTCCATCTTCTTTAGTCACGTCAAAATTGACGGGATTGCACACTAAGCCATGAACCACGGGTATTTCCAATCACTTTTTTCTTCTTAAGTTCAAAGTGTCATGAAGCCCATATTAAGATTAAATAATATTCAGCATTCTAAATCAGTATAGTAAAACGCCTCAACAGGTTTCTAGCATCTGAAAACATCAGAAAAGTGTTCTCATCATCTGTAAGGCTGCTTTTAAAGGAATTTCTCCAAGGACAACTCAGCACTGTCATATGATTTGTTTGTCGCCACGATTCGTCGACCATTTCACAATTGCAATTATTTGAATTTGGCGTCATACTAATGATTAAATTCGAAGCTGTTGAACATTGTAATCAAGTTCTTCCAAATGTCATTTCTAAGCTTGACCTGGACCATGCCAGAATAAAGATTATGGCCGTCGATGAGTTTAATGCCCACTTCACTTAATCTTTAATCCATTAAATGTTCTATAATTAGATAGATTTGTTAAACAAACATTGGTTAAGAGCGGGTATGCATTGTTTTACCTCAATCTGTAGCGGCCGTTAGCACTTTTATGTATACGCGTGTGTGTGTGTTTATGCGCGTGCGTGTTGGTGATTGTACCTCGCAGTATGTCACCTAGTTTTCACCGAACTTGATATTTAATAATATAAATGTATATATCTATATACAGTGCGACCCAGAAAAAACGAAACCAAGAATTATCGATGTTTTATCATAACTCGATCACAATTATATTTAATAAATGACACACATTTGTAAAGTTTAGATCCTCCTTTTTCATTTGATGAAAATCATGTGAAGCATATCCTACGAATGAGTGATTAAAACAAATTAAAGAGAGGGTAAAAAAAAGTCAATTGACGGGGGGTATCTGCATTTCAAGGAGAAGATTTATTTCGGAAAAGTTCTTTTTCTACCCTTTCATATGACGCCTCAATAAGGAAAAATGAACCAGGAAAAACAAAGTTCTGTTTGTTTAAAGTAATGCTTGCATTTCCATAAATTGAGGCTTAACTGTGTTTCGTTGACGATCACCCATGCACAAAGAAGACGAAAGACTTGATGCATGGCCGATCGTCAACGAAACGGAGTTAAATCTTTTGTCAACTTTGTTTGTTGCAACGGCTGGCAGCCAGTGAAAACGAATTGTGGGTACCTTTTAAACAGTCCAAACCTTCCCAAAAGATTAGCATAAGGATATACGTCTTACTAAAACCCTCACTGAAGTCTATTATTTGTAGGTTGTTTATTCATCTCCCCACTATATTAGTTATAGTAATAATAAAGGAAACCATGTTATGTTCAATTATTGCTGAAAGAGAGTGACAATTTTATCTTGTGATAATCAGTATTATCGTTACGTATGTAGGGTGGTGACATGAGAAATTGTTCACAGGAAATAAAAGTCGTAGGAAATCATTTCTGCTAATGAACGGATTTATTGTATATCATTCTCTGTAGATTGACATCTAGATATCACTAAGTGACAGTTTTCCTTCTTTTACATAATGACATGTACTTTGTGGTATATGAAGTGCAAGTCTGAGTATAAATATATCGTACACCGGTGTAACGAACACAATGGCAAACATCGAAAGATTAACCATTTTCTTAATTTTCAAGTCCATTTAGATCTTACATGCTCTGAAATGAAATGTTATATATATCCTTTCATCATCATCCTTGACGATTTTCCATTATTATCATTGTAGTATTAGTCATATTATTATCGAAATCATTATCATCATTATTATTATTATAATTATCATTATCATTATCAATATTACTATTATTGTTAATCCAATTTATCATTACTTTTATCTTTTCCCTTTTATTTTGGATGGAGGGGGGGGGGGGGTATTATCATTATTGTTACTCTGATTGTTAGAATTCCTGTGTCTCCCTGATTATCCCCTTTAAGATTGTATATTTACTCATTCATTAACGTACTATGTTTCATGTCCTACGCCATTATACAAAGGCGGACTATGAGATGTAAGCCTATTGTGATAGTTATTATTGTACAGTGCGTCCCAGAAAAAAACGAAACCGAGAATTATCGATGTTTTATTATAACTAAATCACGATTAAGATTAATAAACGCCACATATATGTAAAGCTTAGATCCGCATCATGCACTTGATGCCACTCATTTGAAGCATATTTCACGCTAGAGTGATTAAAAACAATTTGAAGAGAGGGTACCAACAAGTCATTTGACGAGCGGTATCTGAATTTCAAAGAGAAAATTACATTTCTACACAGTCCATTATCTGCCCTTTCATATGACACCCTAATCAGGAAATATGAGCCTTGAATATAGTAATGCTTGTCAAATACCGCCTGCCAAATTATTTTTTGTTACCCTCTCTACACATTTTTACGAATCACTCATGCGTAGAATATGCTTGATATGAGTTGCTCCGAATAAAAGAAGGAAGACCTAAGCTTTACAAATATGTGGCATTTATTAATTGATTGAGTTATGGTAAAACATCGATAACTCTCGGTTTCGCTTTTTCTGGGACGCACTGTATTATCATCAATGTTATAATCATTATTAATACCATCACCATTATCCTTATTGCCACATGTATCGCCATTTTTATATGATGCATGCATACATTGACATTTTGCGAGTCATGCCAACAAAGTCATGGGTACTTTGTACACAAATGACTTCCAATAGGTTCTGTGTATGTATATATATCACGTTCATACATATATAACGTCTTGAATTTTATAATAATTTGTCACCTTATTCAATATTTTTATACTGTTTTTTCCTTCTTCAATTTTGATTGAGTTAAATTTACATACATTTCCACAAAGGGAATACAAGGAGCTAACGAGGTGTGGTACTCATTTATAAAGTTATCACCCTTACGACGTTTAACCGTACCTTTTATTAAGCATGTACAAACTATATATTCGTCCTGATTGATGTTTCTTGAGAACATGACATATTAAAGCTTTTAACTAAAAGTATTCAACAAAACGTTCATTTAACTGTTACATCTTTTATTCTTGAGTTACGGAAACCAAAGAAACAAAAACGAAAAACATCAAATTTCAGGGGGTGCAAAAAATAAATTTAGTCGTTTCTTTTTAGTGAAAAATACACAAATGCCTAGCCAAAGGAATTTCTGTGAAATGGATTGGAAGTTGAACAATTGTTCTGTTTTGTTTTTCATTAAGGCAATCTCATTTGGTATTGATGGATTCCTTGATATTAAATCCATCAATTAACTAAATATTGTACAACTTTATATTAACCTGGACATGTTTTTAGAAAGAAAATAAATTATCAGTGGATTCAGTTGTGGATCCAAGACAACAACGAATGCATAATAATAAAAAAAAGAAGAGGGGATAAATGGTATGCCATTTTCATATATTGAATGTACATGTAAATAAGTAAGGAATGGGGAATGACTGCGTGAAATAACTTCTAACATTTGAAGGAAATATTAATCAAAATGTATAACAATTAAACAACAACATAAAACAACAACACAAGTATAAAAGAAGGTCAATAAAAGAGAGTGGAGTTTTCCTAAATAAAGTGCACACCGAATCTAAAACTGGTAGTAATTTATTCAAATTGGTTTTTCGTAGACTTCATAGCTTCGAATGGGATCTCCATTTTCTTTGAGATATGGTTCGACATAGAGTGACTGGTCACCTCCAATGTACTTGGCATAACCGTCAGGGACGTCAGGAAGAGGTCCTCTGGATCCCTTCTCATCTTGAAGTGTGTCTTTCGATGATGTTGCTAAATCATAGCCACGGCTGTAGATTATAAAATAAAATTAAAATAAATATTATATTCAGATAACATTTAAAGGGATCCGGTAACTTTTTCTCAGATTCTGAAACAAAATTCTGGATTTAGCTCATGATGCAATGATAATTTTAAATCTTTAGGTCAGTCATGAACCCCATGACTTATACAAGCCGATCGCCTGTCTGATTATCAAGATATTTATGTTTGGAATTACAAATTTTGAAAACCGTTCGCCTGACGGTTTTCATAACACTACAGTCTATTGGGGAAAACGAGTTTGGTAAAACCGGTCACTCAAGGATTTTTACTTTGTTGAGGCACTTCTTGATCATTTTGAAGCACAATTGTTTTAGGGCTTCAATATTACACCATATCACAGACACTGATAACACGTAGGGCCGTGTATCTCAGATTTAACATTGTTAAACGATCCCTTTAATTTACTATTCAGATTTCAATTGAATCGTTAAATTATGGGAAGTATAAGTGCGCTGTTAATTATAAACAAAAACATTCCTTGGATGAACTTTCATATTATTTAAGCCCCTCGAAAGTGTTGGGAGCCCAACAAACTTGATGGAAATTTTGTATTTAAATTGTATCATAATGTGAAAGAGGATGTAATTTAAAACATTTGAAAATGTTTGAATTTAAATACATTCATGAAAGAATATCATATTACGTATTTTTTCATCAATATTTGTCTTTGAACGCAATTTTAGGGGGAAATCTTTGCAGAATGCGTCTCAAATGACACCCTCTTTCACATTAAGACACAATTTCAGTGAAATTGTTGGCGAATTTGGGACTCCCAACACTATAAGAAGGGGATGTTAGGTTGCATTTCATGAACATTATCTTTCTTTTCATTGATTTAATAACTGTTCCGACTAACACTTCTGTTGGTTCAGCTACTTTTAAAAGATATATCTATACAATAACACAGACACAAATTACCTGAATATGTCAACATCTTTTCCAAGTTTTAACTAAGTTAGTAAGGATTTTTTCCGGAGTTTATTAGACGTGTTATTCTGTTATATTGTTTTCCATTCTAAGATTATACCTAAAGTGTATCAACAACCACGAAACCACATCTTTCCTTGATTTCGAGGAAACGCTTTCCCAAGTACTGGTAGTTTTACAAATTATGAACGCGAGCGGCGGGGTTTCAACCTCCTTCCATTAGTCCCAGTAAATCGAGTTAATTGGAATTGAGTAATTGATGTTAAAAGGGTAAACTCCTGGAATCAACTGAGAGTTGATTTTCATCATGAAATATGTTTTGCGTAAGGAGAAAATACACTGAAAATATAATTACAAGTTATTGTACAGATCTAGACATTATAGAGTATCGAAGCTGTGAAATCATACAATTTTTTTTTTTAATTTCTTCATTTTCCAAAAGAGCATCAAAAATAATGTCCGAATGTCAAAAACTAATTGAATATATTAGGTATTGGCTGAGATATGACCCGATGAATAAATAAATGTTCTATGGGAACTCAGTGTTATAGTGCTCTGGTTCATAATGTTATGAACCAGAGCACTACACACTGAGTTCCCATAGGACATTTTTGTTTTCTTCAGATGGTCATATCTCAGCCAATGCTAAATATATCCAATTGGTTTTAGCCATTCGGACATTATTTGTGATGCTTTTCAGAAAATGGAGAAAAAAATGAGAAATTCTAATTATATTTTTTTAACGACGTCACTCTTCACCACTCTATACGATTATTATAAAAAACATTTACTTACTTTCTCATGAAGATAACAAACGCAGCCATACACATCAAAACAAGGATAAATAAGATGACAGCTGTAACCAAAAGACCGGTGATAAAGTAATCCCTTCCCTTTTGCTCACTACTAGAATATGCAATGCGCTCTGGAAATGTAGGTTTTCCTCCTGTAGATATTAGTAATTTGGTCATAAGCAAACATCAATTATCATGAGATATATTTGTATTAAATTTCAGTAATTGAAGTTGGATGCATATTTTTCTTAGTACTCTAATATGTGTTTGTATTTGTATTTGCATTTTTGTTTTGTTTTTAATTTGTATTTTCCTTTAAACTTGTAATTGTATTTGTACTTGTACATGTATGTGTATTTTTATCATTTCATTTGCGTGTGCATCAGTTACATTTGTATTTTTATTTGTATTCTTCTTTATATTTGTATTCTCCTTTGTAAATGTGTTTATCTTTGTATATATATATATATCATTAATATATGTGTAATTATATTCTTTATTTTTATTTTTTTTCTTTTCCTTAGATATTCGTTACAAAACAAACAAACAGCTAATTCCTGTACATGATTACAGCAGCCCCGTAAAATATGTTAAACAACATAAAAAGATAACAAGATAAATGATCATAACAAAAAGTTTTGCATGGAAGAAATACCTGGAAAAAATAAGTAGGGAGGTAAATAATAAGCAATAATAATACAATCCAAAAATAGTAAATTGATGCAATATTTTTTCTGATTTGCAAAGAGATGAGCTTAATTTGTAAAGCAGTATCCTTTTTCCCTTTACATTTTGTTTTTCTTTCCCATCTTATGTCTAAAATGATTTGGCTTTTGTTATTCATCACCGTGTTTTGCTCGGTCTTTCAACAGAAAAAATATCATGCAACATAAGAGCTAGTGTAAACTCTCCCGAATTTTGTGGCGGCAGAGAGGCTTTCTCTTATATTACTTATATTTACATGTACAAGGACCAGTTTACATTCTTTATTTTTAATATTTTAGTATGCTACATATTAAGATGATTATCATTTACAGCATAACTATTATTATAATACAAGATCGTTATCATAGTCTGGTACCACACACTATGAATATGACGGACAAAGACATAGGACAAAATATACAGTTCCTCATTCTACCCTCAACAAATGTTGTGGTAGGCAAAGGAACATCCCTTCACTGTCATTATGTCAAAAATGCGTAGAACAGATGGCACATGCATATTCACCTGGTCTACACATGTTTACATCATAGCAGTGAAAGGATGTTCCTTTGTCTACCACAGCAATTGCATATTTTGTCCTCTTTCTTTGTCCGTTATGTTCATAGTGACATTATCCCCGTATATCAGACATTTCTAAGTGCATAATAACCTCCGGTTGGTGGACAATCAGTAGAGCACTGGACAGAATTCCCTCGCCACAAGCCATCTGTGTGACAGTCCCAAGCGAACCAATCAGAGTCGTCGTTACATGTGATGTTGACTTGGTCACCAATCTTGTAGCGAGGCTTAACATTTTCAACGAATGAGACGACGGGGATGATTGGTGGATTGCATTCTGCAAATGAATTATTTAAATATTTACAAAAAACTCATTTACTGGATAATGGTATATTTGTACACAAACAGACAATTGGAGAATATTCAAAATCAATGGCTTCTTCGAAGACTCTTCAATGAATACAGCACAATAATCATTCAAGGAAGCCTCTTCCGAGCGCTTGTGGTTGCCTAAAAAAAGTGCAAATCTTTGATGATTGAAAATGGAACTATGTTTCGATCGTAAACGTAGTTACCTTGATCACGCACGGTACAAACTGTCAAATACGCACACACACACTCTCAAAGAGATCATAAGCTTTTTGAAGGGCGCTTACAATCTTTTATTGATCACATTACCTCTTATCCTCGTATCATTTTTAGAAAATCAACGTTATTACAAATAAATAATGATCGAGTCTTCGTCTTGCAATTTGTAATGTCCCAGTAATTGTCAAGCACCTATACCGTGCGAGTCAAAAGAAAGTTTACACCTAGAAAATTGATAATTATTTTAAAAAATCATCTATGAACAGTAAACGAGTATACATTTTATAAAAGAGTGTTTTATCCCAGATATTTGGTATCAAGTTTTTTGTGGTATGTGTTCACGCTTTGATGAGCAGGAGGCATTGTTTGCGAGAGTGCAAACATCGATTTGCGCCAAAGTTGCTTGTGTTATGTTTGAATTTAAAAAAAAATGGGATTTGGGTATTAATTCGGTCTTTGCAGATCCAAATAACATCCCCAACAAAATTAATCATAACATACATATCAAACATCGGATATCAAATAACAACGAACATTTGTGCGTGTGTGTGTGTGTGACTTTTCCTCTGCAAAAAGCATATGAAATACATTTCATTCGATTCAATCTCTCACTCCGCTAATCCCAAAATAATACATACTGTAGGCATCAGTTTGGCGCAATTCGATTTTTGCACCCTCGCAAACAATGCCTCATTTTCTTTCAAGCGTGAACACATACCACACAAACATAATACCACATTATTTGGGATAAAAAACACTCTTTCATAAGATGTATACTAATTACTGTTCGTAGATGATTTAAAATAATTAGCAATTTTCTAGGTGTAAAATTTTGTTTGACTCACACGGTATGTACATGGTCGAAAATAGGCGAATGTGCATCAATGTGTTCAAAGGACGTTTGTAGAGGGATGGGATTCGATCCCTCAACCCTTCGACTGAGAGTTAATTGAATGAAGCCCTATACCACGACACCTATACATTTTTATTACATGAACTGACTTTACAACAGGCAGCTTTTTAAAACGTATGTTTTGCATACCTTTGGGAGGGTCAGGGCAAACTATGTTTTGGCCTATCCATATTCCATCGTCACATGACACGTCGAACCAATCAGAACCCACGTTACATGTCACGTTCATCCTGTCACCGTTTTTGTATGAGAGACGAAGATTCTGAATGGTTGAATCAATAGGCACTGCTGGTGCACTGCAGGAGGCATGCGATGGAGGAACTGTGGAGAGAATATATGCAAACAATATTATGGAGGCCACGAGAGGTACTGTACTATAAATGGGAAGCGTTGGTTCATATTTTAGGAAATCGTTAGGATATTTAAATTTGTGACGTTCTTAAAAGAATTAATGTGTGAAATAAACATAAAAGTATTGAACAGGTGATTTGAACCTCTATCAGAAATACCTGTACGACTTTGCTCAGTAAATACAAGTTTATTACTCATACAGAACAAACAGTCTTCAAAATATTTACATTAGATATTGTCATTGTAATGGCAATTTAAGCGTTTTTAAGTTTTGGACAGCAACACATAAAAGGAAAACAATATTTATATTTCAAAATTTGCTTTAAATCCACAAATGCTACTATTCACGGTTAAAACTATTCGTCCTTGTCATATGTTAAGGACAATGGAATACAATTAATAGGTGGTAAGATTTTTTGTAGAAGAAAGTTTGTAGGTTTAGGTGTAAAAAGGGAAATCAGATTATGGAAATCGAAGAGATGAAAAGAGAAACAAAAAGAAAGAAATTCATTCCATGGACCTATTCTGATGTTAAAATATCATTTTGGGAAAAATGAACAAAACCTAATAAATCTTAATTGGAAACCCAAAATATCAAAGATTGAAAATATAGTACGTCTATGGAAAGCGAGGCGCTTAACATTTTCTGGTAAAATAACTATAATCAAATCATTTCTTGTTTCTTAAATGCCGGAAATGTAATGAAATTCATTGACTCTTTACTGTATACATTTTTGTGGAAAGGAAAAAAAAAAAAAAATAAAAAGAGAAGTGGTTTGTATGAGTTACTGGATATTGCATTACTTCTCTCACGAAAACTCAACGTGGAAAAAGATAATTGATGGTTTCTTTAAAAAAGTTGGCAATTTACAATATGTGTTAAATAGTAAATGTACAAAAGATGATATGAAGCTTTGTATAAAGAATATAAAAATGCCCCAATATTACAAGAATATGGTATATACTTGGTTTGACTTTAAAGAGATAGTAGAATGTAAGACGACAATTGATTTACAATGTAATAATGTTAAAAGTGAAAACATATGGTTTAACTCAAATATAAGAGATCATAACAAAAATGTATTATTTATTTAAAAAAATGGTTCGATGTAGGCCTTTTGAAAATTATTGATGTAGAAAACTCTAGATTTATGTCTTTGAGAGAAATTGAAGAAAGATTTGAGAAAAAACATGCTTCTTTGTTTCAAGAATATTATAGCATAGTAAATGCAATTCCCAAAGTGTGGAAACAAAATATGTTAAGACAGGTACATGTATAAAATGCGACACGAGAAGAAAATGAAGGTGTCATGAAAAATGATTTAATGAATGTTAACACTAAACGAAAGTCGAAGTTTTTTTACTCTACGTTGTCTATTCATGCAATTGTTAGACCTCCAATATAAGAGAAATGGGAAGAAATGTTAAATAGTACAGAACAAATCGACTGGAAAGTCATATGGTCATTTAATTTACAAGCTATGAAAGAAAACAAAATATCAGAATTCAATTTAAATTTATTATACAACTTATTACCAAATAGGTATAATTTATTCAAATGGAAATTGTGTAACAATCCCTTATGTTTATATGATCATCAGTTACACGACAATCTCCATTTATTTGTAAAATGCAAGCACACAAGATCGTTTTGGTTAAAATTTGGAGACATAATTCGAAAACTTGACAATGTTAATTTTTCTTTTGACAAGTTCGTTTTAATTGAAGGTTATAACTTGAAAAACAAAATATTTAACAGTTTAAATTGTCTTATCATTTATGCAAAATACGCAGTTTATTTAACATTTATGCAAGCAGAAAATCGCAAACTCATGTTTCATGAAGTCTCTATTCTTTGTATTTTAAAAAGACTTATCCACAATCGATTAAAGATCGAAAGGAACTGTAAAACAAAAAAGCTATGCATTTTTTAAAACACTGTTATTCAAGAAAAAGAAACATGTTTTATTTGAACTATGTTAAGATGCTACGATGTTATTTCAATTGATTGTGTATGATTGTTTGATTTGTGCAAATGCATATATTTTCTCAATAAATTCATTTTACAAAAAGAAAATGTACTTTGTATTTTTTGTTTAACAAAATATCAGGTTCTCTGGAAAAAAATGTTATTCTAGATATCAGTGATTATTGTAACGGATTGAGCGCAAGATGTGCGTTCATCTCAGTGCGTGTTTATATTCCTTTTATATTTATATTTTTATACTTCTCCGGGCCCCATTTATGCCATGGTTATGGAACTGGTAGTGGTGATGATAATGAAGAAGAACATGATGATGATGATGACGATGATGATGGTGGAAACAAGGGAGTATAAGAAAGAAAAGATTTCAGATAAAAAAATACCCAAAATATATTTACTTACATGGAGCTGGTATTATCGGCAATGTCGGTGCTGCACAGGATATATCAGGGCCATCCCATAATCCACTTGCCTGACACCGTAAAGTGAACTGATCACTGTTCGTGTCACATGTCACTGTCACTCTGTCATCGTAATTATAGTTCAATTGATAACTCTCAATCTCGGAATATCTCGGAATATGAGGTGCACTGCACAGTGGTGGAGCTGTCATATTCATAGCATTTGGGGGAAAGAAGAAGAAAAGTTCAAAACTGAAACCACTGAAACCTCAAATTAAAACATCACATTATACAGTGCGTCCCAGAAAAAAACGAAACCGAGAATAATCGATGTTTTATCATAACCTAATCACAATTATAATTAATAAATGACACATATCTGTAAAGTTTAGATCCTCTTCTTTCATTTGATACAACTCATATGATGCATATTTCACGCATGAGTGATTAAAATCAATTTGAAGAGAGAAAACCAAAAAATCATTTGGCGGGCGGTATCTGCATTTCAAAGAGAAAATCACATTTCTAGAAAGTTCAGTTTCTACCCCTTCATATGACACCTCATTCAGGAAGAATGAGCAAGGAATAGCAAAGTTCTGTTTGTTTAAATTAGTGCTTGCATTTTCATAATGTTATTAAATGGTTTCGTTTTCACTTGCTGTGTGCCGTAGCAACAAACGGAATTAACATAAGACTTAACTCGGTTTTGTTGACAATCAGTCGTAGACGAAATACTTGATGCATGGCTGATTGTCAACGAAACGGAGTTAAGTCTTTCGTCAATTCTGCTTGTTGTTACGGCAGGCAGCCAGTGAAAACGAATTCGTTTGATAAAAATATGGAAATGCAAGCACTGCTTTAAACAAACAGAACTTTGTCATTCCTTGCTCATTTTTCCTGATTGAGGTTTCATATGAAAGGACAGAAACTCAGCCTTCTAGAAATGTGATATTCTCTTTGAAATTCAGATACCGTCCGCCAAACGACTTTTCGGCTTCCTCTCTTCAAAATAATTTTACTCACTCATGCGTGGAATATGCGTCATATGAGTCGCATCAAATGAAACAGGATGTCTAAGCTTTCCAGCTATGTGTCATTGATTAATTATAAATGTGGCTAAGTTATGATAAAACATCGATAATTCTCGGTTTCTTTTTTTCTGGGACGCAATGTAAATAATTACAGTGCTTATATAGCGCTTAACACTTACTTTGTCAGAAGTCTCTAAGCGCTCTACAATAATGCAGCATAATTACCCTGGCTTTAGCAGTGCAGCTGTTACGCGCGCTGCGTTTCAAGGAATAAATTCCTACCAGTGTACAGCATTGCGCAATATAAATCTACAATTATTATAATTAGTTTAATGTATAACGTTGGGGAGCGGGGTAAAGGTTCGTAATTCCGAATATCCATAGAATAATTCCGAATACACTAACTTGCAATTTCCAGCCTTGGTGGCACTTTCAATATTGTGTGTTACTCCAAGGTTTTAAATTGCGAGGATTTGTTATTTTCAAAGATTTTTCGTCTGACGGCTCATAATTTTGATAGACGCTAACGTGCTATTTTGTTGAAGTTTTGCAATTCCCAATATGAAATAAGATTCATAATTATAAACATAAAAGAAGTTTCGTTCATCTCAACGTACATAATTCTAAAATGATTTAGTTATGTATATGGATGATGAAAATGCCAATTCTATCTATCTATTCAACTGTTGGAAATAAGAACTCTCTCTATTTTTCTAAATTATGATCCATATACATAACCAATTAATGTTTTGGTGAAGGTAAACCGAGCACATTACCATATTAGTCAGATAAAAACCAAATATCTTACGTTTGACTGGTTCTCGACAAGACATTTCCGGTCCACTCCACGTTCCACTGTTGTTACAATGAAGGGTAAAACGATCGTTGCTTGCATCACAAGTTACAATCACGTCATCACCTGAGTTGTAGGTGATTCGGTAGAATGCAATGGTAGAATGTCTTGGAATAACAGGAGCACTGCATTGAGATGGAGCTGCTTGGAAAATATAACATAAAATCATTGGAAAGTGAGGTTCAATGCAACAAGGAAATCACGTATGTAGCATAAGAACATGAATAAATAATCAGGTAGTAGTAAAAACAGCAGCAGTAATAAAACGAAAACAATAATATACCACTGTATAGAAATGTGAGGTAATTAAACACTTAACACATCTCTGAAGCACCTTACATATATCATTACCCTTATCATTAGATTTTGAGCATTATTTCTAGCTCCTCAGCATGTATCCTAATCAATTATTCACAATGACAATATGATAATTCAATGAAATCACAGTCTGTCCCAGGTAAAATGATAGATTTTCTTTTTTTTCCCCCGATAATTAAGTATAAAAAATGTATCAATAATTAGACAAGGACAATGATACAATTTGATTTGATTTTGATTTGATTTTGATTTGATTTATTGGTTTCTGCATCTTTTTTCTTTTTTCATCATACATTTTCATGAACATAATATGGCTTGATACAATATTTCAAGTGTATATAATTTTATACAGATAATAAACGATATTAAACAAATATATTGAATTTAAACAAATATATTGAATGCATAATTAACATACATTAGATGCAGGAGGGCTACAGAAATAAGCAAAGTAGCTTGACGTGCCGGCAGCCCTCAACTTAGATACAACAATACAAATACAAATAAAAAAAGAGTGACTTGCAGAAAAGAAAGGGAAAGGGGAGAGAAGGAGGAGGAGGAGGAGCGTTGGTAATAATACAATAAATCTCATACATCTGTTGATTGAATGCAGGTTCATTCATGAATGGAAAGACGATGCTAGGTCACAATTACATGACTATGTAGATTGTGTAGTTATAACAAAATAAACAGACATCAAGAATAACGTGTTAGGTTCCCACACATATTAAAACAAATGTCGTTTTGAGTATGGTAAAATTTTAATTATAAAAGTTTAATTTTCCATCCCTCTGGTACACGTCAATGGGCCGTATGCATAAAAAGTAGCAATTGCTTGCAAGCACAAGCAATTGCTTGTCAAGCAAAAGATCAAGCTCAAGCAATTGCTTAAATCCGTATGCATAACATTTTGCTTGTGCTCAAACCTTTTGCTTGCCTCCAGCAAGCAATTGCTTACGATCTCAACAATAGCGACGTCACGCCGGTGCGAACATCATTCATGGGAGAACAAAGGCGGGTTTCGCATACTAGTAGTGTATTCAAATGTCATGTGTGTGCGGTAGCCTTTCCTGACATGACATCCTCCCCGTTTTTCATCATGTTCAGGTATGAACCTGTGTGCTAACCACTCAACAGTTCTCTTTGTCGAAACGGAATAGTTTCCGATAGGTCCCGGGAGCAATTTCTTCTCGATTTATTCTACTCATGTACAACTTTGGTTTTTCTCTAACGAGCATAAACATGATGCTTAACCGCGAAAGTCCCGATTAAGCAAGAGCTCAAGCTGCTATGACGGAGCTTGAAAAAACGTAAGCAATTGCTTATAAGAACAAGCAAAAGGTTCGTTTTATGCATACGTTTTTAAGCAATTGCTTGATCTTTAAGCAATTGCTTGCGGACATCAAGCAATTGCTTGTGCTTGCTAGCAAAAGCATTTGCTTGCAAGCAATTGCTTATGTTTATGCATACGGATTCAAGTAAAAGGCTAGCACAAGCAATTGCTACTTTTTATGCATACGGCCCATTGTCCAGGTACATGCGAACGGACAAGTCGTATGTCTAAAATTTGCAAGAAGGCCAAAACATTACATTTTTAATAGGGTGAAAATGTTATTTGTTATAGATACATCAGGCATTTGGGGCGATTTTATTTGTGTTGGTCAAACTCTTTTTTAAATTGTAAACTCTCACAATTGGCACAGCACCTGTCAGTATTCCCTGGATCTAATTTCAGATTCATTCTATTTATCCCCACCATCATGACCATTGATTTGGGGCTTGTCTAATGAGAAAAGCGGTCCAATTCGGAGGGGAGGGGTAAGTGAATGCAATCAAATCAAAATCGAAAGTCTTACATTGTGGAGGTCTAGGACAGGACACCACCTGACCTGTCCATTGACCTTTCTTGCGACACTGAAGGATAAACTGAGCATTGCTGCTGTCACATGTCACAGTAATGCTGTCATCATAGTCATAATTCAGTTGCAGGTTTTTAATGGTTGCATATCTTGGAACGTAAGGGGCGCTGCACTTCTCCGGAGCTGTTACGAAAATGAAAGAAAGATAATATAGTATGTACAACAAACATGTATTAACTTTAAATGTCATTTGAGTATTATTTGATTTTATCTTTAAGTGTAAACGGAGTTAATACAAAATGTAAGATGCTGCTGAGTGAAAAAAGGAAAACAATAAAGAGGTTGCATGATACTACCGACCACGATTGTTAAGTTAATTATACACTGTTGGTCATAATGGTGGAATATTTATTTTTACCCCAGTTTAGGGAAGGATTTTAAAAAATTATTTATTTCTAATAGATCTAGATAATGGCATACATTCTCAGATTTTATTGAATATTAATTTGAGAGTGTTTGTTTTGCGTGACTGCTTAATCATAATTGTGCTACTATGCTAATCAGCTAAGGGACCTACGTCCTTAAGTCATAATTGACAGTAATGAGGATTAATGCCTCACAAAAGGGCACTTATATGTGTCATTCCATCGGGTTGGGTCTTTTCAGCATTTTCACGTTTTTGAATGTTTAGAAGCTATTTACTCAAATTTGAATGTATTTTTAGAAAAATAAAAGTATGTTATATTGAAGAGTAATGTAGTACAGAATAAATAAACATGAAAACAGAAACTTCTTCATCATATTTTTTTTTTGGTGAGAGTTTTACTACCGATGTCCCAGCGATTTTGAGGGTGAAAGTTGTGACATGAAAACATGTCATTTTCATGAACTTATTTCTGGAAAAAAGTTCATCATAATGCAATGTTTCCTACTTAAAACATGTCACCTTTAGGACCCCTACTATGTCTGAGAAGCTCAAGTGAAATGTGCAAAAAATCGGCAAGTTATTTCATATTGAAAAAACACAATACCTACGTTACCAACGATGTCCTAGGCACTTTTTTCGTAACGGCGGTAATTCTAGCATTTTACACAAATTTGGCAGGATATTTTCTCAGAAAGTTTCATCTTATTAGGAAGGTACAACCCCTCATGAACATATGTAGAAAGAATGATGATTAAATCGGTCGGTAAATATAAGAAAACAATTAATTTACCGCGAAAATCGGGCGCGATGTCCTTCGTAATTTGGTAACGTAGGTATGAAATTACGGTGTTTGAGATATAAACCAGCCCGCTAGCTTCAGTTTTCGGTGTTAAAATGACCTGCTAGTTATTCACGAATGCGCAGAACATGTTTTTTGCCGGACTGCGACGACCTACCCCTACAGTGCAACCACAAACGTGAAGATGTCTTAGTAACGTGGTGCAGCCATTTTCGCCCGTCAGCGCCCAAATTGGTACGTAATATGTTTTTTAAGTTATTTTTATGGCCCGAATTATTATCATGGACAATGAAATTCCATGTTTTAAAAATGTAATTCCGTTTTAAATTGTGTTATTTTCAACTTAAACCGGTTTTCAAACCATCACATGTGAGTGAATATTTTACTGTTGTCCCACATACTGATATATGTGTTATAACGAAACATGCAAAATCAATGCCGGACTTTTACCCTTAAAAAGCTAGTTTCTTAAACAGAAATTGAATTTAGTTATAAGAATCCCGTAAATAATGATATTCATGATGTTCCTACACCTCAGATTTTTTCTGACAAGTTTTAAAATAATTAATATTATTTATATGGTGCCATTAATTGTCATTGAACAATGATGGCTAAGCCTAACGAAAAACACAAGTTATTGAACATTGCTTCCTTCAAGTTAGGAAGTTCAATCTGAGACCCGAAATACACAACTTTTTGGGCACAAAAGGGGGTTGAGGGTTGGGGTTGAGATAGAGAAGAATGGGTTAAAGGGGGAGGGCAGCCCCCCCCCCCTCCGATTCAATTAAAATTGGATACATAATAATGTAATGAGCCTCTTTTTTTTTTTAAATATAATTTTTTTTTTTTTTTAAATAAATTAAATAATCATTGATCTGGCTCCCCTTCCCCCTCATCCAAAGGTTGAAGTGAGGGATAAGGGGCTTCAACACCTTCCCTCCCCCTCCAAATAATGATAAATAACAAATATAATTTTTTAACAAAAATTTATAATTCAACACAAATATTAAACTTAAAAGAAAAATCAAAATGAACAACCAATAATAATACCTACTTCTATTTGGGCATGCAACGAGCCAAAAGTGAGGAACTCCCTATCCATCTTGCAATCCTCTGTCTAGTTGTTCCATCCTTAATTCTTACAATTTGATTTTACAACAGATCTAGATAGAAGTACTTGATAATTGCAAACACAACACACGTTTGAAATGAAAAATCACAGAAACAGTTTACAGTTTTGTTTTATTTTTATCTCATTTAATATTCTTTACTCATTGGTTTTTATTTATTTCTTTTCATGCATATTTATTAGATTGCTGCATCCATTTCATTCATGGCTCCTATACCTCCCTTGAGGATTCAGCTCCGGCAGAGAGAGATCAAGAGAGCAGGCAAAATGACCAGTCATCGAAACCTTCCTGGAAAACAAAGATCTTTCCAATCTAATCACTATTTTGAAGAAGATATAAAGTTGATCATTGATATCTATCAATATACCTCTTGTATGAATACTGTTTTTTAATTTACTGATCAAGGGATAAAATATATTTCAGATGACATTTGATGTAGTCTGTCATTTTTCAATGAGTATAAGAGGATAGTTACTCTAATATCATACTGATGTTACTCGGACATGATGTCCGTGTAACATAGGTAACTGGAGGTGTTGAGGTGAATATAGACCATAAATCTTGCAGGTTTCCTTTCAATTGTGTTATCATCTCATTAAATATGTTTCATGCATCAATTAATTGGCACATTTCATGGAATGTAGCCAAGATTTTCTATGCAAGAGAAAAGATTACCCTTTAGAAAAAAACATGATCTGAAGATTGCTAGTTCCTCATTTGTTTCATGTTTATAAATTGATATTATGTTGCTGTGTTCAAGTTTTAAGTATTCTAAACTATTGCTCCCATCATCTAAATGTTTTCCACACACAAAAAAGTGGAGTACAGACTGTGACAAAGTTTCAGATCAGAAAATAAATGAGCAAGTAAAAAAAGATGTCCTTGTAACGTTGGTTTTTTGGTGTGTCTGTTTTTTCATTTTAAATGAAAGTGTGCGAAGGAATACACACAATTCCAGTGGAATCTATTGAAGAATGGGTGTTAAAAACAGGATATAACAATAAACAAATTATTCAACAACTCTGAATTTTGAACCTTCATGTCACAATTTATGACCCAACCCGATGGAATGACCCATATATAGCTGATCGACTCGATTTTTATCCCGGGGCCTCACAGTAACGAGGCCATTGCTTAGCCCCTGAATCATGACTGTACGCAGTGTTTGCTAGGGTACGCGGCCCCTTCCACAAATCCCCAAAACGAAGAAAATGCAATAAATTGTCAAAAATTCAATGCATTTTCCCCCGGCCCCCAACAGGAAAAACTTCTCTGTAGGGCCATGCATTATGGTTCAAGGCATGGCCACACAGAGGAATTTTTCCTGTTGGGGGCCGGGGGAAAATGCAATTAATTTTTGACAATTTATTGCATTTTCTTCATTTTGGGGGATTTGTGGAAGGGGCCGCGTACCCTAGCAAACACTGCGTACAGTCATGATTCAGGGGCTAAGCAATGGCCTCGTTACTGTGAGGCCCCAGGATAAAAATCGTGTCGATCAGCTATATTAGTGCCCTTTTGTGAGGCATTAATCCTCATTACTGTCAATTATGATTTAAGGACGTAGGTTCCCTAGCTGATTAGCATAGTAGCACACATATGATTTAGCAGTCACGAAAAACGAACACTCGCAAATTAATATTCAATAAAATCTGAGAATGTATGCCATTATCTAGATCTATTAGAAATAAATAATTTTTTAAAATCCTTCCCTAAACTGGGGTAAAAAAAATTATTCCACCATTATGACCAACAGTGTACAAGGTATGCACGAAGGAGCAAAGAGGTCCTATATTTAATGTAATATTGACAAGTTGTTGACGATTGATAGAAGGGTAAATAAATGAATAAGGATTAATGTATAATTAAATAATAAATAAAGCTAACCTTCGATCGGCTGTGTGCAAGAAAGGACACTACCCGCCCAAAACCCATCTGAGTTGCACTGAAGAGTAAACGACCTGTCTGTATTGCTGTCACAGGTGATTGTTACACTCTCACCGATGCTGTAGACCAAACGAACGTTTACAGCTGATGCATACTTTGGGATGTATGGACTAGTGCATCGTATAGGGGCTGTGAATGGAAATACAATACGTATGTTTATTAAAATAACATTAATAGTTTAGACAGAGAAAGTAATGATCAATATCTACAGTTCAAAGTAGGAGCTGATGTATTGATAAAATAATATACACGCTCTAATTATGAATAATGTCAAACAGTTTTACGACCAATATTGCAGTGACCAAACTCTTACCCTACTAAACTTCCCAACTTGAACTATTTATACCGATCTCCATCTGATGCTTCGGCTAGACATAGCCTTAATGTTAATCATAGGTCTCGATCGATCCGACGGTTCTAGGACACCTACCCTTTTGACATCCCCCGGATAACCAACCCGCAGTCACCTACCTCCCGGGGTAGTCGTCCTAGAGGGTGGTTGCCCTAGGGGGTAGTTGTCCTAAGGGGTAGTTGTCAGGGGGAAGTTGTCGGGGGAGTAGTTGTCCGGGGGTAGTTGTCCAGGGTGATAGTCGTCCTAGGGGGTGGTTGACTGGGGTTGGTATCCGGGGGTGGATGTCTAAGCGTAAGGTGTCCGGATACGCTATTCGATATTCTGATAATAAAGCCCTGATTAAAATGTTACCTGATCATAAGTCGGGTCTCCAGTTGCGTGCCCATTCATTTACTTGGTTAATGTTCTAGTAAATTCGCAATTACATTGCTATTGGTCAAACTGTGCTTTAAATTTGAATTCTTACAATTTGCACATTAACTGGCAGTTTTCTCCGGATCTAATTTCAGAATTCTTCTAACTCCCTTCACCATCATGACCATTGATATTAGGCTCGTTTAGTGCGAAAGCCAGTCGAAAATTGGAAGGGGGGGGGGGTGTTCAGACGAAAACAATGAATCAAATGAATTTACAATTAAAAAAAAGTCTTACATGGGGTAGGTACGGGACAAGAAACTTCCTGCCCACTCCATCGACCTTTCGTGTCACACTGAAGGTTAAACCGAGCATTGCTATTGTCACATGCCACAGAAATGCCGTCACCATACTCATAATTCAGTTGCAGGTTTTTAATAGTTGCATATCTTGGAACGTAAGGGGCACTGCACTTTTCCGGAACTGTAAAGAAAATCAAGTAAAGATGATAGTTGATACAGCAAACATTTATTTACTTGAAATGGTATTTGAGTATATCTCTGGACGTAAACGGGAAAAACAAAGTATAATGTTGTTGAGTGTAAACAGAAAACACTAAAGTGGTTGGATGCTATATTCTTTTGACTACAACCATGAACAACAACAACTGTACAGTAAATTATAAACGTGTGTGCGTTGGGGCTAAGGTATTATTTACACGTTTTCGAACATTGATAGCTGGGTAGCTAAATGAATAATAAATGATGAATAATTGAATAATAAGAATAGCTAACCTTCTATCGGCTGTGAGCAAGAAAGGACAGTACCCGTCCAAAACCCATCTGAGTTGCACTGAAGGGTAAACGACCCATCTGTTCCGCTGTCACAGGTGACTGTTACCCTCTCGTCGATGTTGTAGACCAAACGAACGTTTACAGCTGATGCATACTTTGGGATATATGGACTAGTGCATCGTGTAGGGGCTGTGAATGGAAATGCAATACGAATGTTTCTTATTATTTCATTAGTAGTTTAGACAGAGAAAGTTATGATCAATATCTACAGTTAATACTGGAAGCTGATTCTGATTTTATCCATAATTTACATCCTACAATTATGAATAATGTCTAACAGTTGTACGACCAATACCACAACAATCAAACTCTTACCCTACTGGAACTCCTAACTTGAACTAGTAATACCTTTCTCTAATGATACTTCGTCTCGACATAGCCTTAGTTATAATAAACAAATTCGATATTTCCGACATTTTCATGATAAGCCCAGTTCAAAATGTTACCTGATAATAACTCGGGTCTACAGTAACGTGCCAAGCCAGTTTCTTTGTTAATGTCCTAGCATTTTGGGCAATTATATTGTCGTTTGTTAAACCCTTTTTTGAAATGTGAACTCTAATAATTTGCACATTCACTTTTTCCTAGATCTAATATGAATATTAAAAATATCGTCCTCCATCATCATGGCCATTGATTTAGGACTTGTTTATTTTGAAAGCTAGTCGAATGGTGGGGGGGGGGGGTAAGTTATAGACAGAAACTATGAATAAATCGAATCAAAAAACAAGAAGAAGTCTTACCTTGGGTAGGTACGGGACAAGAAACTTCCTGCCCACTCCATCGACCTTTCGTGTCACACCGAATGTTAAACTGAGCACTGCTATTGTCACATGCCACAGTAATACTGTCACCATAGTCATAATTCAGTTGCAGGTTTTGAATAGTTGCATAACTTGGAACATAAGGGGCACTGCACCTTTCCGGAACTGTAAAGAATATCAGGTGAAGATGATAAATCGTACAACAAACATTTATCTACTTGAAATGTTATTTGAGTATATCTCTGGACGTAAACAGGAGAAATAAAGAATAATGTTAATGAGTTATAACAGAAAACACTGAAGTGGTTGAATGCTATATTTTTGTTGACCACATCCACCAACAAAACCAATTGTTATGCAAATTGCGAAAGCCAGTCGATTTTTTTTTTTTTTTTTTTTTTGGGGGGGGGGGGGAATTTTAGACAAAAACAATTAATCAAATCGAATCAAATAATTTTTTTTTATTTTTTTTAAGTCTTACCTGGGGTAGGTGCAGGACAAGAAACCTCCTGGCCACTCCATTGACCTTTCGTGTCACACCGAAGGGTAAACTGAGCAGTGCTGCTGTCACATGTTACAATAATACTGTTATCATAGTCATAATTCAGTTGCAGGCCTTGAATCGATGCATATCTTGGAACGTAAGGGGCACTGCACTTATCCGGAGCTGTTCAGAAAATTAAGTGGAGATGATAGTTGGTACAACAAACATCTATCTACTTGAAATGTTATTTGAGTATATCTGTGGACGTAAACAGGAAAATAAAGTATTATGTTGTTGGAAGATAACACACACAACATTAAGTGGTTGGATGCTATCTTTTTTGAAAACCACAACCACGAAAGACAACAAATGTACAGTTAATTAAATACGTGTGTGCGTTGGGGCTTAGGTATTATTTACAAGTTTTTGACCATTGATAGCTGGATAAATGGATAATGATTAATGAATAAATGATTAATGAATAAAGCTAACCTTCTAACGGCGGTGGGCAAGACAGGACACCACCCGTCCAAAACCCATCTGATTTGCACTGAAGTGTAAACGACCTGTCTGTATTGCTGTCACAGGTGATTGTTACACTCTCATCGATGCTGTAAACCAAACGTATGTTTTCAGCTGATGCATACTTTGGGATATATGGACTAGTGCATCGTGTAGGGGCTGTGAATGGAAATGCAATACGTATGTTTAATAATATAGCATTAGTAGTTTAGACAGAGAAAGTAATGATCAATATCTACAGTTTAAACTAGGAGCTGATGTATTGATACCATGATGTTAATGCTACAATTATGGATAATGGCGAACAGTTTTACGACCAATAGCGCAGCAATGAAGCTCTTACCTTACTGGACCTCCTAACTTGAACTATTAATACCAATCTTTTTATAATGTTTTGTGTAGACATAGTCTTCGTTATAATCACAAATGTTGATCGATCCTACATTTTAATGATAAGCCAACATCTAAATGTTACCTGCTAATAAGTCAATTACAATTACAGTTTGCACAGTAATGGGCACTTTTCCCTGAATCTAATATTAAGATTTAATATATCTTCCTCCATAATCATAAACATTAATTTGGGGATCGTATTTGACGGAAGTCAGTCGAAATTTTCCTGTCAGAGGGATAGGTTTCAGATACCAATGCACTGCTGTTATCTTGTTCACCTCTTTATAAACCTCAATTAATAAGGCAGCATATATATTCATATATTTCAGTCGTTGTCAATGTTTTTGATCTAAAGTAATCGAAATTTTGAAAACTAGTAAACTTGACTTTTATAGGTGTTCTTTTTTTGGTCCCGTATATATTTATCGTCTGTGACAATAATGGATGCATATATGTTTTAAATACCCGAGACGGGTGGCGGGCACGACTGCATTGGTCCACTCCATAGCCCAGTGGTTTCACACAGAAGACTAAACGGTTGAATGCTGGTATTGTCACATCGGAATGTCACACTGTCTCCAAGGTTATAATTCGGACTGAGGGTTTCGAGCGTTGAGTATCTCGGGACTGAAGGAGCATTACAGTTCGTCGGAAGAGCTAGAGTTAAGGGAAACAATTTTAAGTTACTTGCTTCACATCTGTACGAAATGTGAACAATTACTATGTTATGTCTGAACCCTCAGTGTGGTGGATTGTGTAAACCAAACTAAACGAAAACAATATGTTTTACTTTCACCAAATTGTGAATGCGTCTCACGTAATAAAGTGCAACAAGAACATATATACGGACTAAAGAACAAACGAACCAATCACGTATGCAACACATTCAGCAATACCATTTGGAAAAAAGTGCTCATCAGCATTAATACTAGCATTGCGAGTTCATAGTATTTTGGCAGCTAGGGATTCATTCGGGTAATTAAGTTGGACTCCGTTCAGAACGTTTCGTAATGGGACGAACATATTCACGCCCCGTACAACCTGACGCAGTGTTAGGGGTTTTGATGCATTGTTTAGATTCAAATCTTAATAGAAGCAAAGTAATCCTAAACCGGGTACGGATTTGAATATTAGCTTACCCGTCGATTCAGGGCAGGATACAATAGGTCCACTCCAAAGTCCTTTGTTATGACACTGAAGGTTGAAGGTATCCGAACTGGCATTGCACGTCACAGTAATTTTGGCCCCAAAGTTGTAGTTGAGACGAGGATTTGTAACATGTGCGTGTGCGGGAATGTATGGGGCACTGCAAGGAATGGAACCTGTAAAAAAGGTCATAATAAAGTATTTTAAAGTGATTTTCTTTCGTTATTTCTTAACAAGAAAAATACTTGTACATTGCAATTTGAGATTTATTAATACCTCACGCATTATTATGCAGTGACAAATTAATTGTTAAGAGTAATGAAACTTCGAAGTTTAAAGATCATGGAAAATACTTCGACGTTATTTTAATTTTTCTTCTTTTTGATTTAATTCAACATGTATCCCTTGAAAATGGTTTAATGTGTCTTGATTATAGACGGTAATTGATATCAGCAATTGTCTTCTGTCCGTACTTGCGGGGGAGGGGGCATGTGAGGAAAGAAAATTCCTGTAAAATACATCACCTAGTTTGTAGTACATCACTGTTTGCTTGGGTCCTGTGTGGCATTAAAATCATATGTGTTTATTCGGAAGAGATATTATTGTATGTTTTATCCCGTTACCTTTGTAATTCTGCTCGTGTAAATTTTTCCTATATACCAAATCGATATCAATTAGCAGCATTGTGTGTATAATTGCCCTTCTTTTTTGCACAAGTATGTATTGAATCATAAAGAAGCTCTTTAATAAAGTGAGGAACAGCCATTTCATTGTTGTTTTGTTATTTCATAACCTTTCAAATCAAGTTGCTACTTACTCATATATGTATTGTTTAAAGACTGAATTTATTAAATCCTAGGTTTTTATATAATCCTTATAATATATGAATAAAAAAGGGCCTTATTTATTGTTCTTCGATCCGACTGTTTGTGGATTTATCAGCTAGTTTTGGGCATCATATTTGTTTGGAGTTTTTACAAAAAAATATTATATTTTGAATCGTGAAATGAAGATGGACTGCTCCTTCACATTTTCAATTATGCATAGTCCGAAAATGAAGTTGGTTCCTATATTGATATCATGATTTGGTTTATTCTGGTCACACCAAGGATGCAGCGTAATTAATTGACACGGGACAAACATTGTTAAAAAAGATAAGCAATGTGTTGTACGGTCCATTGCACAGGTTCACCTCATGGTCAATTTGCCAAAAGTGCCGTTGCGCTGACAGAGGACTCGATTCGTGAACTAACAGCGCAACTACAACTATTCTGATATGGCGATAAAGGGGATGTTGGTGTACTGTTTTTAATATAGCATGGATTTAATAAACACTTTATTCCTCATCACCTCGTCTATAATGCTTACTTCTACTTCGAGGTATCAACTATTCTGATATGGCGATAAAGGGGATGTTGGTGTACTGTTTTTAATATAGCATGGATTTAATGAACACTTTATTCCTCATCACCTCGTCTATAATGCTTACTTCTACTTGGAGGTATCAACACTTAAACACATGTATGAAGTTGTACCAATAATGCATTCAGGACATTTTATAGCATGGATGGGCTAGTTTTAAAAAGTTCATCAAGCGACTGGCGATGTGCTATTCACCAATTTCCATTTGATAAAATGCATAGAAGGTAAGATTTAAAATGCTAAAGGGCAATAACCAATATGATAACATTACTTTGCATTTGGTGTACATTGATATGCGGTATGGATTTGGGGTATTCAGAAATGGTACCATAATGTATTCAATGTTTAATGAATCCATCCATTTTACAATTAATATCTAAGCTTTATTAACGAACCTTTGTGTGGATGGTTTTATTTCTGTCCAGTTTTTGGCTTGTTATTTGTTTTACCTGACTGCTTAAAGAAAGCGCGTGTATGCTTGAAAGTAATCTATCTAAAAATATTTCTGTCAAACGCCTCACCTGGTTTGTGGCATATGATATATGTTTGGAATTTGGTTGAGTATGGAGTAAACGTGCAGATCTGCTGTGTCAAAGTTAGTAAGCACAGCTAGACACTAGGGTCATAGTAATTGTGGTGGTAATGTAATGTTATCATGAATCTGATTCACGTACCAAATTATAGACAATTGTTCGGGATATGCTGATTTATATCAACATCATTCTGCCATACATATATATTTTAGGTCCGAGAGCCAAATTGGCCACTATTGGTTGCGAAATCTCCAGTGTTCCTCGTGCCAATATAAAATACATGAGCCAAAACCTTGTTTCCTAATAATTTAAAATTGCTTAACTTTCCCTCTCGTTTCACTAAAAGAGCTCACATAGTCTGTGGTATCTGACATTATTTGAAAGTGAAGAAAAAACATATATTAAACGCGTGCCTTTCTCCAAAAAGGACAGCTCACGACGAAACTGATATCTATGAGGTCTGAATACTGATCAGGACCGCTGACGAGCTGCACACCCGCATCACTTGTATTGTATTATATATTCCAAGTCCCTTTATAGCTTTGCAGAAGAGAACAAAATGCGTCGGGGTACTTTTCTTAGTTCAAAAGGAAATATGATCTTTAAAATTGTTTTGGAGAACAACACATTTAATCATAATTAATGTTTAATTCACTGATTATTTATTAGATAGTAACTCAGTTCCATCTGGTTATTCTTGGGCAATAATCGAGGGTATTTGTTACTCCATTTGTATATACATTTTGTCTCTAAATTTTCCTGGAAATTCAAAAATGAAAATACATTTTATCAAACACCTGCTTTGTTCTATAACATCTTAACGTTGTTTTACAATGTTTCCAATTGACGGACGATAGCAGTCATTTAATGTACATTGCGATAACATTATGCAGAGTCTTTCCTTTAAGAATTGAACTTTAATTATTTATCAATCTATTGAAAGATTGTTAACCACAAATTGCCATTGGTTAATTCTGACTTGTACACCACCTGAATATGTATGAGGTCCGTGCGTGAGCCGCATACCTGCTCTGGAGCTTGCCAAATCAGACATAGACCATAACAAAGTGTATACATCAACACGTGATCTAGTATCGGCACTGAGTATAGCTGAATGCGTAGTGCCATTGTAGAAAAAAAAGAGAAGTGACGATTTTTTTTCTTTGAATGATAACAGTTTACTTTGATAAAAATGGAAATAAGAACGGAAATAAATTATTTTGCCTGAAACCTATTATTGTTATTTTGTTCATTTATCTCCCCTATATGATATAAAATATATGATAACCAATTTAGATAATTATTATGTACAATAAATGCAGTCTTGGTGAATTGCATTCATCGAAAGCTAGCAGGTGAACAATATTATCGAGTAGACCAATGTAACATTTAATGTTGGTCTTATATTGGCGTTGTCCATTTTTTTTAAAGTGCCATTTGCCTGTTTGACCTCTACCCAGCCTGTGTACTGATCAGGTCCGCGTACGAGCCGTAAACACACTTTGTGTCCGTGTTAACTTTTGAATTATATTAAACATTGGAGTAAATTCATTTGTCCCCCTTATTATATTAATGTTCGAAATTTACGAGATTACGAGCTAAGGTACAAAACAAACTCATTTCAAATCAACGTTTTTTTCAGATTGGGGCAGTGGAACAACGATCTGGCTTCTCTTCCATCTAGCCCATATCAACATTGAATAATATTCAGAATTTAAGTTTTATATAATAGGCTTCTAGCTTCTGAAAACATGATATATGAAGTGATGTTATAAGCTGCAAAGTAAACCTTAGTGAGTGCCTTGCTGTCATATTGTTGGTATGACTTCTTGTTCAATGTAGAGCCCCTTGATTCCAGCCCTCACAATCAAAGGATGATTTAGTGGTCTAACCACCTCCAAAACACTCCACGTAAACTATTCCCCAGCCCAAAGGAGTCCCTTGCATCCAGTTCCAACTTGGCCTTCTTAGCTAAGCCTCAACCGCCTAAGGACAGGTTAATTACGATGCAGTATTGCCATGGTCAATCATCTCACAATCGGAAGTGTTAAACATTTGGAGTAATATTAATCATAACGTGTGAAGTCGGTGACTTATTGGATCAGATTATTTCTACTGCCACTTGTAAGCTTGACCTGGACCCAGCCTGAATACCGATCAGGTCCATAGACGAGCTTAATGCCCGCTTCACTTGGTACTTTATTTGATTAAATGTGCTATTATCATTGTCGACAGCGTAAAAGTGCCATTGTAGAAAAAAGAGAAGTGACTTATTTTTTTCTATGAATGATAACAGTTTACTTTGATAAAAATGACTGGCTAACAACGGAAATAAATTATTTTGCCTGAAACCTATTATTGTTATTTTGTTCTTTTATCTCCCCTATATGATATAAAATATGATATGATGAAAAATATATGATAACCAATTTAAATAATTATTATGTAAAAGAAATGCAGTCTCTGATATCTTAGGTATATATTTCATTCAAATCGATTATAGGGTATTCTTAAACTCAACCTCACAGAAGGCAAAGACGGATCAAACTATTGATGTGCGCCTGTTACATATTATCTGAACGTATTTAGGGTAGTTGCATACGAAATCGCTGACAGGAAATAAAATTCATATACAAAAATGTTATGCTAATGTAAGTAATTTATTTTCATACCATTCTCTGTAGAATCATAACACAATATTATATTACAACATTTGCGTTGTAGCATATGAAGTGCAAGTCTGAGTATAGATTATAATATATAGGTTTAAGGAATAAAAATCCGAACATCATTAGATAAACCACTTTCTTATTAAATGTTCTTAGTCCTCTTTAATTTTTCTTATTCGTATTATTATTATTATTATTTGTATTACTATTATTATAATTGTTTTTATAATGCTCATTAACATTAGTAAAAGTGTGTATTGTTATAATTTATCATTATTGTTATAATTAATATCATCATTGTTTTCATGATTTTTATAAATCCTGTTTGTTCCTGTTTATAAACAAAATGCGTTATATTTTATACACCGTTAAACAAATGAGGACATTGTGAGCTACGGTTGTTTATCATTTTTATTATCACTATTGTTATTATAATTACCATCGTCATTAACAGTGTTAGTACCATTTTCATAACTATCATTACTTTTGTTACTATAATTATCATCATCATTAACATTATTATTTTTAATTATCATCATTATTATCACTATCCTTGTCAGCACCTTCATCGTAATTGTTATATGATGTATGCATGCATTTATATTTAACGAGTCAGAATAAAAAAATCCAAGGTAGTTTTGTACACAAATTATTTCCTATCGGTTCCGGATATATATACATATTTCATATTTAATTCATTGAACATATGTCACTTACTTATAATAGCATTTCTTTTTTCAAGCTTAATAATCGGGGCAGCGCCAGGATCGTCACAACGTGACTATCATGTGCGCTGTATAAGAAGCCACCATTATTATTATTATTATTATTATTATTATTATTATTATTTATTTACAAAAAAAATCACATACAAAAATACAGGGACAACACTCATTTTTTTTTTATAATAGGGGTACAGATCCATGGCGTTAACAACTACATTATTAATACGCTTATGATGCTTAAATAAAACAAAAAAGCATGTGAACAATCTATTTGTATGGATTTATTTTTCTTAAGAATATGACATATTAAAGCTTTTTATCTAAACATATTAACAAAGCGTTATTTCAACCAGGGCATCTACTATTCTTGATTAACGAACAAAACAAGAACGCATCAAATTTACAAGGGCTGTAAAAAAGGACATTTAGTTTTTACTTAGTAAAATATACAAATATGTAAAGCTACATGAATTGACTGAAATGAAAATTGAAATCGAAATGAATTCGAAAAAAAAAATGGATTGAAAATAATGAAAGTAGTATTCCTAAGTTGAAGTTTTGTTTTGTTTATTTTCATTGCAGATACCTCTTTTGGTATTAATGGATTCCATGTTTATTAGAGTAATCAATGAGCTAAATATCGTACACTTTGATAATAACCTGGACATGTAAGTTGAAGACAGAAAAGTATTCACATTATGAACAAATACATATATAATCATACTGTACACATCTGCTACCTATTGTATGTAAAGCGTTAAAGGTTTAACCTCGTCTTAAATTTATCTCAGTATCAAATATTTGATACACGAGAGAAAATTGGGCTTTTCATATTCTTACTTGAGAAATTAAGTAAGAAAAAAGGCTAATAAACATAAATTTCATTTAAATGTGCAGAAAACAAATCAGTGTTGGATTAAAGACAATAATTAATGCATCATCGGGGAGGATTGAAATTGTATAGCTTTTCTATATATTGAATGTACGTATAATTTAGTGAGCAGAAGGGAATAACTGCTAGTAAGAACTTACATTTAAAGATTAAATAGTATTAAAATTTAAAAAAACTGACAATTAATACATAGATTATTAGGCAAAAGTGCATGCCCCAGGTTGGTCTAAACATTTTGTAAACTAAACAAAAAACAAATATTAACATGAATGGTACAGAAAAGGAAAAGCACGCTGAATCTAACACTGATAGTGGTTAGCTGTTTACATTATCGAGGATAAATTAATCAAACTGGTTTTTCGTAGACTTCATAGGCTGGAATGTGATCTCCATTTTGTTTGAGATATGGTTCGACATAGAGTGACTGTTCACCAGCAACGTAGTTAGCATATCCTTCAGGAACGTCAGGGAGGGGTCCTCTAGATCCATTCTCATCTTGAAGAGCGTCTTTCGATGATGTTACCAAATCGTACCCACGACTGTTTGATTATAAAAAGAAAAAAATGTATTGGAATGAGATTTAAAATTTGATTCTGATTTTAATTCGAACGTTATATTTAAAACTATAAACGTCTGATTTATTTATGCAAGTGTTGCATTGCATGACCATTTTCTTTTCTGTTCTAATTGAATCCTAGGCTCTGCGAAATTCTTTACGAAGTTTATACGCATTTATTGAGAATCTTCCCAATGTAACGCTTTTGTCTTTTTTTTAACAATCTATCTTTACCGTATCACAGAAAAAAAACTGCCTGAATATTTCAACATTATTTGTCAAACTATCTGACCGAACAAAGATAGTGGAGACTTTTCTTACAGCGGAGTTCATTAGTGGTTAAATACTTTGGTTTGTCTTCAATATATATAATGTAAAATGAAAAGAATGATATCATGAAACCATCCCATTGCCTGGTTTTGACGAAACGTTTGGTACAAGTTATTTTTAATCACGGCCTTGATACAATAAAAAACATTTTGCATAAATAGAAAACAATAATGAAAATATTTACTTACTTTCTCATGAAGATAACAAACACAGCCATACACATCAGAACAAGGATGAATAAGATGACAGCTGTTACAAGAAGACCGGTGATAAAGTAATCCCTTCCATCATGCTCAGTATTAGGTCTTGTAAAGCGCCCCGGAGATGAAGGTTGTTGCCCTGGAAATACAAGTAATTTGGTTATCAGCAAAGACCGCATTAATTTGTGTATTAAGATATATCTTTGTATTCGTATTTAGCATTTGCATTTGTACTCGTATTCATATTCAAACCGGTAATTGTATTTTGTTTTTCTTTTTTTCATTTATTATTTGCATTTGTATTTGTACTCATATTTCCATTTACATTTATTTCAGTATTTTAATTTCAGATATTTTATTTTTTACCGAACATGCAGCAAAATCCGTACATAACTTTAGCGACCCCGTACACAAAATATATATTTGTTTAAAGATAACAATTATTATAAAAACAAGGTGGGCATGAACAAAATTGTATGTATAGAATAGTCAGGGTGGTAAACTATAGACGGTATTAATATAAGCGCAATTAGGTAAATTGTTCCACAAATATTCATAATATTCAAAGAAATAAGCTTAATTTGTAAAGCAGTACCCTTTTTTCGCTTTTTACCTTTCGTTTCTTTTACATCTCATGTAAATATGTTTTTGGGTCTTGTAATTCATCATGCTTTATTTGATCTTTGAAATAAGAAATGTATTGTAGTAAAGAGCTTGCGGGAAGTCTATCTATTCATTTGTTCAGGTGGAGATACATTTTGGTCACAGAGCTTGATGTTACATGTAAAAGGCGCAGTTACTAAATGACATACATCTAGTAGTACTACACATTCAGAGGATAAATTGTTTACTTTGTAATTTGGTATATGATGTGATATTATGCCAGATCGTGTCATAGTGTGGTACCACATTATCCCGTTTTATCGGATATGTTTAAGTACATAATTACCTTCAGGCGGTGGATGAGTACGGGAACATTCGAAGGGAGGCCCACGCCACAAGCCATCTCGCTGACATTCCCAAATTAAAGAAACAGAATCGTCGTTACATGTGATGTTCACTTGGTCACCATTCTTGTAGCGAGGCTTAACATTTCCAATGTATGCGTCGACAGAGATGATTGGTTGATTGCATTCTGCAAATGAAGTATTTTTAAAAAAAAATAAGAAAGTTGGAGAATATTTAAAATTAAAAACTTTTTTTGAAGGCTTTACATTCATTACAGCACAGTAAATATTCAAGGAAGCCTCTTGCAAGCGCTATGAGTTGCCAATAAAGCGCACATCTTTGGTTACTAAAAATTAAACTACGCTCCGATCGAAAACGAAGCGACTCTAATCATGGGTTAAACAAACTATCCTACACCCCACATCCCCCTCCCCCACAGACACGAAAGCGTCAGCTTTTTTTAAGGGCTCTTTAAATCTTTATATGAAATGTTAAATAAAATTGTCAAATCACCTTGCATTCTCGTGTAAATTTAGTGTAAGCGTTTGAATACCGATTTATTATTAATCAATGTTGTTAGAAATACAAAATAATTGAGTCTTCTTCTTTTAATTCGTGTTGCCCCAGTAATTGTCACGCAATTATATACATGTTCAGAGAAAGGCAAATGTGCATGGATGTGTTCAAATGACATCAGTAGCGGGATGGAATTCGAAACATTTATATCTTTATCGTAACAAAATCTATATACGACCGGTAGCTTTTATTCCGTTATGTTCATTGCAATGTATGTTTGGCATACCTATGGCAGGGACAGGGCACACTATGTTCTGGCCTGTCCATGTTCCATCCTCACATGTCACGGGGAACCACTCAGGGCCCTCGTTACATGTCACGTTCATCCTGTCACCGTTTTTGTATGAGAGACGAAGATTCTGAATGGTTGAATCAATTGGCACTGCTGGGGCAGTGCAAGAGTCAACTGATGGAGCACCTGCGAGGACAAATGTAAAGAGGTGATGAATATTTGAGGAATTTTTAGAATATGAATATTGTATTAGGTTTTATAAAAACCAATGTGTAATTACAATAAACAAAAAGGGTATAGAAAAGGAGATTTGACTCTCTCTCACGAATGATTTTAAGACTATTCTAGAGCGATTGTGTATTACTCAAAATATTGACAATATCGAATGTACATTTAAAGGGGAATTTGGGCCTTTTAGAGTGTATGACAGCAAAACATAAACATAGTGAAAAAGATAAAAAAAGATAATCATTAAATTCTACATTTCTTGCGGATATCATCATATGGAACAATATTGCAGGTCTGATTTATATTCATCAATAAAAGGGATTTGATGACAAGTTATGAAACGCTGTGGTTTTGATATTCTAAAAATGGTAGTTAATGATTAATAAATTATTTCTGAAATATTTCCTATAAAAACAGAATCAGCTTATATCATACTTGTACATGAACTAATAGGAAACCTTACTCTTTGGTTCGGGACAAGACGCAACCGGTCCGCTCCACAATCCTTTGTTATGACAATGAAGGGTGAAGACATCATCACTGGTATTACACCTCACATTGACAATGTCACGAAACTCGTAATTCAGACGGAGATCTTCCACCATGGCATGATGAGGAATATAGGGAGCACCACATTTTATTGAACCTGAAAGAACAAACAAATTGATAGAATGAAGTGATTTTGACAATTTACGCCATCTTCTTTAAAAACTGGTCACCCTGCCATTATTTTAGAAATGTAGATCAGGGGTTCATTGCTAAGAAGTAAATTGAAGTCAAGAAGGCTATGTTCATTATTAATAAAAAGATACATCGTGGTTATGAAGATGATTATTATTATTATGAACAAATTAATAAAAGGAAGAGTGAGAAGAAAAGCAATAATTCATTCAAAGCTTGGAAAGGCTGTAACAGAAATAGGCTGAGGGAGTGCAAACATGTTAGTATGAGTTTGTAGCGGGGAAACATGACACGTAAAGAGTAGCTAAACGGACGAAACTGTTCAAAAAGAAAATTCACTATGACAAAAATAACAAACATTGCATAATTGAACTTTCATATCCTGACAGAATGTTTCTGCATTCATATTTTAGAAGATCCATATCAACTTGGAATTAAAACTTGAAAAGCGCATCAAGAGATTGAAATTTATTTCGAAAAAATCAGAACTAAGGTAAATATAATTTAAATTAAAAGATCAATACTCCAATATCGAAACCTCTCAAATGGTATTGCATTTTAAGCTCGTGTCAACAAAGTAATCAACTCCTTTATTTTTTATTATTCTGTTCACGATTCCTGAACACTTGACAATCACAATATGCTGAGCAATATCAACGTTTTGTTTAAACCAAGTCCGAAAATAAAAATAAGACAACCATATGCTTCAATTCTAGAGTAAGAAGAAGATAAGAAAGAAATTCGGCAAGAAAGGCAGAACAAAAATAAATCCGTAGATATAGAATGAAAATGTTAGCGTAGTTAATTGCAATATAATATTTTGAATCGTGTGTATCTTTACATTTAATTTCGTTTTTACTTGATCGAAAACGTTGCAAGTTTGTACTTAATTTCTCAAACAAAACTTTCCTGTTAATTCGTTAATTTTCACTAATTTTCCAGGGTGTGATTTGACACAGAATGTATCTGAGTTTAATTTTAAATTGATATTAGTTAACATATACCACAAGTCGAGCCAACTTTCCACCCTTATCGATCTGCTCCTTTGCTTCAAAGCAATCTGGAAAAATGGGCTCGAGATATTGGTCGATCATGGGGATGATTTACAGACGTTCTTTAGAACATGGTAGGCATGGTTGTATTTTGGTTTTGGGTATCAATACATTCCCTTAGAAAAAATGACGTCACCTATTTTCAAAATACATTTACCAATTCAATCATAGCTTTTTATAGAAACGTACAAAGATATCATCAGACTTTAACACAATTATGAGTTAAAAATGGGAAATTTTAATATGTCTCATCGTTATATCGGACTTTTTCGTACACTTCACTAATAATGTAATTATTACAATATTTTTATTTGATTTGAATTGATTTGATTTATTTTCCACTCAAATATCCACACATTAAATCAGATATATAAACCATACAATAATACAATATAATAGAACGAATGAATTATAAAAGTAACGAAATACTGACATGTATGTTCGTAATTAAATAAGTTTACAGAGTACATTTAAGTTTGAGAATAAGACAAAATATTTTATATTGCTTGATTTAATGAGAGGAAAAAAAGTGAATTTCAGAAAAGCTAGGCTTGTTGAGCGAGATTCCCAGTATAAGTTAAATAATGGACCATCAACGACGTGCATCAAATTCTTTACTTACTCTTTGGTTCGGGACAAGACGCAAGCGGCCCACTCCACAATCCTTTGTTATGACAATGAAGGGTGAAGACATCATCACTGGTATTACACCTCACATTGACAATGTCACGAAACTCGTAATTCAGACGGAGATCTTCCACCATGGCATGATGAGGAATATAGGGAGCACCACATTTTATTGAACCTGAAAGAACAAAAAATTGATAGAATAAAGTGATTTTGACAATTTACGCCATCTTCTTTAAAAACTGGTCACCCTGCCATTATTTTAAATATGTAGATCAGGGGTTCATTGCTAAGAAGTAAATTGAAGTCAAGAAGGCTATGTTCATTATTAATAAAAAGATACATCGTGGTTATGAAGATGATTATTATTATTATGAACAAATTAATAAAACGAAGAGTGAGAAGACAAGCAATAATTCATTCAAAGCTTGGAATTACTGTAACAGAAGTAGGCTGTGGGAGTGCAAACATGTTAGTATGAGTGTGTAGCGGGGGAAACATGACATGTAAAGAGTAGCTAAACAGACAAAACTGTTCAAAAAGAAAATTCACTATGACAAAAATAACAAACATTGCATAACTGAACTTTCATATCCTGACAGAATGTTTCTGCATTCATATTTTAGAAGATCCATATCAACTTGGAATTAAAACTTGAAAAGCGCATCAAGAGATTGAAATTTATTTCGAAAAAATCAGAACTAAGGTAAATATAATTTAAATTAAAAGATCAATACTCCAATATCGAAACCTCTCAAATGATATTGCATTTTAAGCTCGTGTCAACAAAGTAATCAACTCCTTTATTTTTGTTATTCTGTTCACGATTCCTGAACACTTGACAATCACAATATGCTGAGCAATATCAACGTTTTGTTTAAACCAAGTCCGAAAATAAAAATAAGACAACCATATGCTTCAATTCTAGAGTAAGAAGAAGATAAGAAAGAAATTCGGCAAGAAAGGCAGAACAAAAATAAATCCGTAGATATAGAATGAAAATGTTAGCGTAGTTAATTGCAATATAATATTTTGAATCGTGTGTATCTTTACATTTAATTTCGTTTTTACTTGATCGAAAACGTTGCAAGTTTGTACTTAATTTCTCAAACAAAACTTTCCTGTTAATTCGTTAATTTTCACTAATTTTCCAGGGTGTGATTTGACACAGAATGTATCTGAGTTTAATTTTAATCCGATATTAGTTAACATATACCACAAGTTAATCGAAAACGTTGCAAGTTTTTACTTAATTTCTCAAACAAAACTTTCCTGTTAATTCGTTAATTTTCACTAATTTTCCAGGGTGTGATTTGACACAGAATGTATCTGAGTTTAATTTTAAACCGATATTAGTTAACATATACCACAAGTCGAGCCAACTTTCCACCCTTATCGATCTGCTCCTTTGCTTCAAAGCAATCTGTAAAAATGGGCTCGAGATATTGGTCGATCATGGGGATGATTTACAGACGTTCTTTAGAACATGGTAGGCATGGTTGTATTTTGGTTTTGGGTATCAATACATTCCCTTAGAAAAAAATGACGTCACCTATTTTCAAAATACATTTACCAATTCAATCATAGCCTTTTATAGAAACGTACAAAGATATCATCAGACTTTAACACAATTATGAGTTTAAAATAGGAAATTTTAATATGTCTCATCGTTATATCGGACTTTTTCTTACACTTCACTAATAATGTAATTATTACAATATTTTTATTTGATTTGAATTGATTTGATTTATTTTCCACTCAAATATCCACACATTAAATGACATATATAAACCATACAATAATACAATATAATAGAACGAATGAATTATAAAAGTAACGAAATACTGACAAGTATGTTCGTAATTAAATAAGTTTACAGAGTACATTTAAGTTTGAGAATAAGACAAAATATTTTATATTGCTTGATTTAACTGAGAGGAGAAAAAGTAAATTTCAGAAAAGCTAGGCTTGTTGAGCGAGATTCCCAGTATTAGTTAAATAATGGACCATCAACGACGTGCATCAAATTCTGCACATGTCCGTTCCCAGAGAGACCAGAGACGCGTGAACCCACCCGCCCGCGCCAGATCCCCGGGTCTCCCCCGCCTAGGCCCATTCAGCGTACACCAGTCTGCCGTTGCCAGGTCGAACAAGCTCAAGGTCTGCCCGACCTAGCAACGAGCAACATAAAATATTGCGCACCGAACAAGCCCCGACAAAAGAAACACACATATCTGGCATAGGCAGCCGAACCCGCGCGTCCGGAGACTCTCCGGGAACAAACACGCGAAAACCAGACAACACGCCGAAGATGGTCCAATAGTATTTTGTACAAGCGTATATTGAACAATGATTACGTGAAGCTCACGATCAGAAATCACCATCATTTCTTGGGCCATGGTAAGTATCGACTTCGTTACAAACTATACATTCCAAACGTTCCATATACTCAAATAACCGGTGGATAATTATAACTAAACAAACACAAAAAATCAATGTATTAAGCCCCAAAACGTGTGTTCTTAAGCACCACATTAATAGGCAATAGTGACTATGTTGCTTAGTCGATGGCTTCTAAAGAATTTATATCACAACGAAACACTTTGAGTGAACATAACATTAAAAGTGGTTGTGCATTGAAAAGGGACATAATATTTTTTTTTTTTTTAGCTCTTTGACTGTTCAAATATGTGACTGGAATACATTTTTGTTCTTACAGGTGAGTATCTTATAATTTACCTGGAACACTTCAGCCAAAGTTGTCCCTTTTAAAGAATTACACGGATTGTAAAATACAAATATCTAAAACATTTATGCCATTCGTCCATTTTTGGTAATGGTTAAAGCTATCGAATCATACAATCTTGATAATTAGGTACGCTCCTCGAAATTGTCTTGGAGACCCATAATAGTTGGTGTATTTCCTTCTTTAGTTATAATATTATACACAAAACTAATATTTTCGCAGATGCAGTACCCTGCATTTCACCCTTTCATCTCACAGATGGTTTTTATCTGAATTCGAAAACCTATCGCATAGCATGAACAAATAGCTGTTAAAGTTATGGTATTGTAAATATACATATTTAACTATTCCTTGTTTCTGCAAATGTAAAAACGATCATCCAAACTGTTCGAGTTCAGTGGAAATATGCTTCATTACAAGAACATTACTAAGCGATACTTATATAGTGCGGTACATAATAAGTTTTATTGCTATGCACATACTACTACTACTACTACTACTTCTACTACTACTACTACTTCTACTACTACTGCTAATACTACTGATACTACTACTTATCATAATGATAATATAAATAACTATCATAATTGATTTTGTTTTAAGATACAACAAATATACTTTTAACAAAATGAAATCATAATAACGATCTACAACCTATACAATAAAGCTGCATTAATACGATTAATATAATCGATCATTTAATATCACTTTGCACAGAAAGGTAAAGTCGGACGAGAAAGTATTGAATTCACTGTACAGTGAAATGAGTTAAGGGAATGGACATCACGGACGTCAGTAGGTAGATTATTCCAGAGTTTGGGTTTGATTCTAAGAGAAGGCGTGGTCTCCATATCGAGTGCATGGGCGGGGTCCTGGCGTCTGATCAAGGCGTGCATGGGACGTGGATGTTAGTCTAAGGGAAGAAGTGAACAAAGCGGGAGAAAATAAAGCAGTGAAGCTTGCCGGAGCTAGAACATGTTAAAAAGCTTTGAATGTTAGTAGCAGGATCTTAGATTTAATTTGTTGTGCAATTGAAAGCCAGTGAAAAGTCGGGGTTCGATTTATATGTATCATATTTCCTTTATGCAAAGTATGTATCCTACTGTTATCATTTATCATTAATACTAGATGTAAACTATGCCACTTGCCTTTTCGGCAGATGTGTATTACAAAGTGTACATGTGTATACTGCACTCGTCTTTTCACGAATGGAAAAACCAGGTGTAAATAAGCTATCGAACATTACCCTCAAAGATCCAATCCCCATAAATTAGAAAAAATCCGTAAACAAATTTAACCTTATATCTTTCGGTGTGACATCTTGAAAGGAGAGAAATTAACAATGCGATTATACGGTAAATATATCCTTTCATATAATCTGATGAGAGTTCCGCAGAAATAACGAGCGGCTGTTGTATCTCTAGCCCTAATGTTACTCTCTTTCTAGAACTGAATTTAAAATATTTCTTTAGACTTAACCGTAATTTGAGTATTGAGGATTACTCAAGGTGAGTATAAAACTTAAACTTCAAACAAGTTTGTCGTCTAGCTATAAATCTGTGAGGGCTTACAATTTATCGCCAATTGTACTGTCCGTATATGATGTCATGCTTTCGAGCGCAGCCAAAACTATTGTTTGGACTGACCAAATATAAGATTTAACCTGAATGTTAATATGATATAATATATGGGATATAGATTACGAGACTTAGGATTTAACTCCACGGTTCGTCTACGTTTTAAAACTCCCTTGTACTAAAACTAGTAATCTTTAGGACTTGAAAGTAAGTCTAAACAATTAAGAAGGTAGAATACTCCTTGGTAAGGCTAACACTAAAAACGTAGGACTAATATAAATAACCTATGTAAAAGATAAACCTTGATCATATAAACACCTAAATACTATGCATCTAGATGTACATCTAAATCTCGTGTGCATGGACTAGATCTAGGTCTCACCTAGTGTTAGAGTCTACATACAAATTAACGCTTTGTTGTTAATCTCAATCAGAGTTGAATTAATGTATAAGATTGACCTCCTTAAAGAGAGTCAAGCCATACCTTATCAGTTTCTTACCTGATCACTGTTTTTTACTTGAGCTGAACACAGTCTGACAGTTAGTCGTCGTCTACTAAACTCGAGCTGCGTTTACCCCGCAACCTAAAATCGTCTGTTTGTCTCAAATTCCGGTGTTTCACAAATAGTTGCATAGCAAATATTACCAATTGCAAGAAATCGAAATCGAAAACCCCACCTCTGGAGTGTTTTTTTTTTAACACTGCATTGCAAAAGCAATTTTTCGGTGAGATGCCCGTTTTTCGTCACGTGACTCTGCAAGGCATGTAGGGCACCGGCGAGTTGTTCTTGCACACAACTTAACCCGAAAACGGTATTTGCAAACTTTGACGTCAAATAGTTGTAATCGGGAGTA